CCATTTTATTGTTAAACAAATTGTATACTTCATATTGCATATCGATAAGGAATAAGAATGGATTGACACAAATGGAATGGTTTTGGTATAATATAGAATAAAAATAACCTATTTATTGTTTCCTATCAATAAAGAGAAATTGCTTTCACCATTTAGACGATGATGTTTGAGTGGTAGTGCTACAGTTTTAGTTGAGGACAGTTTGACGTTGACTTTCGCCCTTGCAGAAGGTCATGCGGCTGAAAAATCGGACTGAAGATTACATTTGTTTTATCATTTAGACTCCTGCCTCTTTTTTTATTCCCGTTCTTAAGTTACATCATGGCCTACAGGGTCGGCGTCCGACTAAACTGTACAATAAATATTACTGGTCTTATCACTTACGTATCTGCTTCCGAAACCTATGGTGTTTACATCTCCAGTGTACGAGAGTTTGTTCTGTACTGTCGGTATAAATGCCAACGGGTGACGTACAAAACTAACATCACAGGACATTTAAAGATGCCGATTGACGAAGAAAATGTTTGAATTACGTGGACGTGGTATACTTGGGTTTGACCAGGATTTAAATTTACCATACCGCAACACCTGAAGGACGTGTGAATGTCTGACAAAATTGATGTTGTAACCAGACTTACGGTGCAAACAATCTATGACGCGATGGTGAAGTTTTGAGAGTAAAACCGCATGTGATCTGTCTTTTCCATTGGTAGGACAAATTTACACCTCAGGCAAAATGGAATGTATCTGTTAAATGTGGGAGGAATATTACATGATCACTAAATTGTAAGTACCTAGCACATATCCCTTTATTCAAATTAGATATGTATGAGGTTTTTATTTTGATGATCAATATAAGATAATGTTTAAAACAATTACATAAGGGTTTCTCACCCATTATAGTAAGACACCAACGATATTCTACTAAGCATGAACTGGTTTACCAGTTTCCGCTCTACCGAACGAGCTTAAGTAAGTTTCTTCTTAACCGAGTTGGTAGGAAGCGGCTGGTATTTTAACAGGGTGACATATTGCCCTTGCAGAAATATCGTTGTCCTGAGTTTTGCAAGGGTCATAGATATTTTTCTGATTCGCAGTTGTTACATCAATATTTACCGGATTACTACATGGGCGTCCACGAATCAGAGGTAATCCTTTGCATTGCCTTCGCTAGGAGTCAAACCTGATGCCCTTGTTTTACCAGACTAACATGTTGTCGAATAAGCTTAAGGTGAATGAAAAACGAGAATTTTTCACTCGATTCAGTAGGAAGCAGATATGCTACCGTGGTGACAGATATGTTTAAGTCACTATGCAGAAACTACTCAGAAACACACTATCTTAGCAGTAGAATCACTTGTCTGACACACTAGGGAAATCACCAATATTTTCAGACAAGCATATTCCAAAGCAATGTGATATGTCAGTTAGTTACAAAACAGCACACACAAATATATTTGCATTCATCCCTTCTTCAGCTTAGTAAACTCTGACTGCGTATAATTAGAGTATACGCAATGATAAAAAGGCTCGGCGGATTGATATCTGTTTCAAACATGGCGCCCTTCTCGCTTCAGCGAAATAACTGTTTGATTACAGCCATTGCTTGCTTCCTTCAACATGTAGAAACATGAAACATTTTCGAATCCATTATGTCTACTTATACAACAAAGGCATACTGGCAAACTTCTTTATCCATGGATGCACATTCAAAATTCTTTGAAGTAAAAATGGCGGCTTCTGTTTGCGACGTTCGACCGCATCACTATTGGAGAAGTTTGCCAATGCATGTACATAACGACCGTTTTGAAAGAATAAACATGTTCGAAATGCTTCTTATTTTACTTAATTAAAAAAATAGAAGCGATGAAAAGAAGTTGTCCGTTGCCAAGTGAGTTCATACTACCGTATACGCCGTTAATATGAAGGTCAATCCTTAAAAAAGCATACACTACACCTCAGCATACAGGATAGCGCAGCATACCATACAGCACAAGTTACATCTCACAAGAGGCCCCATTGACCTGAATCGCTTACCTGGAATTAATTAATCTAACATTGAAAAGTGAACTAACATACAGCTAGAGAGGAAATATCAAAGCTTGATTTAAACATATGACTGTTGTGATCTTGAAAATCGAAAAAGGACATTAAGCTGAACAGACTTTATAGCATTTCATCCGACCATGCTTCTGAACAAATAGCCTCACCTTGGTGTTTTTGCTTATAAAGAAGAAGTCTTTACAATAGTTAAACATTGTTTCCCTGGGAACTTGAAATTGGCGAAGTCATCCGTTTTGATATTTGGGCAGGTGAGCTAAAACGCTGCTTTTCTGGCAGCACAACACATAGGGAAGCGCATCATGCAGTAAAACACAACATTCTTTACAGCGCAACGTACACTATAACACAACATACCTTACAGCACAACTTACTGAAAAAAAGCACTGCTTCTCTGGCAGCACAACACAAAAGACAGCACAACATACAGTGAAATACAATATACAGTAGAACATAACATGCAGTGATACACAACGTACAATATAGCATTTGCCTTTCACCAAGGCGGAAAGGGTTCGATTCCCTGATCGGATGTGGAAATATATAGGGTCAACTGCTCGACCACGTGGGTTTGTTCCGAGTATTCCGGGTTCCTCCCACTTAAAGACCCCCGCGCGCTAAGATCCGGGCCAATAGGAGTGATTTATATAAGTTGAAATAACTTATTTCATAATTTGTGTTAAATAAAAAAAGTTTATATTTTATATACAAAAAAAATGCTTACCTTAAAGCAAAGCACACAGGAAAGCACAGCATACAGAACAACAAAACAGACAGAACAGAACAGCATACAGTACAACACAATCGACAGTATTACACAACATACAAAACAGTATTTTTTGCTAAATATTAATTAGGGTGTGATAACGTCTAAGAATGCTGACCATTTTATACTTATGATGGAATATTTTTAAAAGGTTGTCAAAGAATTAGTAAATACAAACATGTATGTATCACGACAACATTTCCGCAAAAGTAAACGCTCATTTAATAGGACACTATACAGTAGTATTATTAATATCTGAAGGTTTGCACACACAAAAAGAGGTATGAGTCGAGAGTAACATTAATAGTTCGAGTAAGACGACAACCTATACGCCTTTTGTATATACTTTGGCAAATGTAACTTTTGTCTAATATCCAAGTATATTTTCCCTATATGCCTGTTGTCCAAGTGTGTTCTTTATATGTTTTCAAAACATTGAACGTTTGAGATGCAAATGAATAACAAATAATTATACAGATATTTTATTGACGCATGATCGGTAGGGACGGTTACAATCGGATAAAAGTCTCATATCCATACATTTTGTATTATATCAGCACATGAAATGATTAGATATGATAATACGTATGACACAAAACACGTATTTTACATGTTTAGATATAAATCAAATGTTATCTGTTATACTTAAATGAAAAAAGCGACTTATAGAATCACACGACAAGATGGTTACATAAAAAAAGAAATGTCGCCTAACTATCCCCCCACACAATCCAGTTGCGTAAATAAACAAGAGAAAAAATATTAAGAAAGATCAAGGGTCATGGCAAAGTGTAACCGCAGCTGTCGCACCGACAGACCGATGAAAGACACCACTACTGTGAACTGAATAACCTCGGAATTTTTTCACGATGTAGCTTGTATCAATGTTACATTTACTCCAAGGTATGTCTATACAAAATACCTACTATTTCTGCCATAATTAGCAATGACAGTAACATAATGCATCGGTGACACTTGAACTGTGACCTCATGACCTTGTGTCACAATATAGCCTGCGTAATTGCCTACGATACTCATATATTTATGTGTGTATACAAAATGTTGACTGTTTCCGAGATAATTAGCCATTTCGGTTACGTAATCTATTCGTGACCTTTGACGACCTTGAAAGTTTTCAGTATAATATATTGCATAAATGCCTACAATATTTCAATGCATATGTGTATACGAAATACCTACAGTTTTCGAGATAGTTAGCCATTTCAGTAACATAATTCATTTATTCAAGGTAAATATGTGATTTTAAATACCTACCGTTTCCGAGATAATTAGCCATTTCAGTAACGTAATGTACTGTCTACTGAAGTCAAGGGCCATAACTCTGGTAAATACTGAAGGAGCATAATGCTGTTCTGGGAGACACGAGTTCAGTTGAGGTAGAACATGTGTGTAAAATTTCATGAAAATCCATGCCTCAACCTAAGAGAAGTAGCAGGTACATTTTTTTGTGTACAGATAGACAGACGTACGGACAGACATACAGAGTGATACAAGTATGCCCCCCCCCCCTTTTACTTCGTTGCAGGGGTATACAAAGGATAAATAGTTAAGTTTAGGTAAATAGTAGAACTCATGTATATGAAGAATATAGATACATTTTGATATAATGTAGTTAATTAATCAATCGAATGATATTTGAAAAATAGGTCGTAGGGAAATGATAGAAAATTTTCATTTCACAAGTTTTCTGATTGAAACACGGCTTGCAAGGTTTTATTGCATTTGTTGTTTGAAGGCGTTTAAAATAAATACAAATACAAATGTAACTATAGATCGGGGGATCAGAAAAAGATACACATTTAATGTTGTTTGTCTCGCTTCTGGTCTACCCATCATGCTTATATTTGTTAAGGTCAGTAGTTATTTTGTAACGAACCAAGGCAATATTGTATTAATTACTCATCATTCAAAATGTTTACGTCTTTTATAAGTTATACTGTTAATGAAGCCTGATTAATGCAGTTGATTTGTAAAAATATAGTCTGTACGTTCTATATTACACCTTCATTACGTGTACATAATCATCATCATCATCATTATGTAATACAGTGAGAGAGAAAGAAATATATGGGGATGAGGGGGGCTTGAGAAAGGGATTCGAATTATCAAATATTTACAATGCCACTTTCAATTCTAAAGTAAAACACAGATGCATGCAAATGCCTTATCAGTATAACAGACATTAAATACTTCTAAATTGAAACTCAAAGTCATGTGCGTAAACCGTCCAATGAATTATTCTATTAATGTTATATAGGAAACACATTCTCAATAAAATGATGCATATACAGTAATTGTTCACATTGTGTTTTGTATTCAGACGAACGATTCGCGCTCTTTACTTCAAGTAGGATTATATCCAATACACATTGTCTTTGATCAGTTGAAACGCAAATCTGTTGAATTAAACAAATATGTTGTTCCACTGTCATGACACAATCAATGTTGAGTTGTATTCAATATTTGAGTAGTTGGGAACGTTTACATCACCTCAGTTCTGCTCAATACGCTGAGCAAGTTTTAGGTCGTTTATGGTACTGTACATGTATATAAAATGATATGAGGGCTGTTTATGATAATCACTGAAACAATGAAGAGAGGAAGCAACTATTTGAAAGCCTTCTTTGAAGATGCAGGGACTCAATCAAAGCGAACATATTAAGTGTAGCAATGTACATGTACTCATTTGATTATTTTCAGTTGATGCGAATCTATATGCATTTGGCGTATAACACTATACACGCATTGTGTTCTGTTCAGTTGACGTATACGTTAGTTGAATCCAGATATAGCCCCATAATGTTGTAGCAGTACTGGTATTGTTTCTAAGATACAATAGAAAATACATTACAAGACATTCGTTTCTTAAACAGCGAAAATATTTCGTAAACATAATATCAGTATGTCTATTGAAAATAATCGAATAATGTTTAGAATACTTAACTATCACCGCATTTATAGTAACGCTATCATAATGATTAACAGACGTTACATGTATAAAGTTATTGTAAGCATCATTATTATTAGGGTTAAGACAACTCTTAGCTGTGTGATTAAGATAACATTTTTACATTACTGTAAAATCATATATTTCGGGAGACATTAAATTCCGTTTATTTCGTGAATAACAATAATTTACAAATTTAAATCCACACGAAAACATAAACTTTGTATGATATAGATAGTTGAAATAATAAATCCGTGAAATGTAATGCCCTTGAAAAAAGGCTAGTATATAAACCACGAAATATTAATCCCACAAAAATAAATGATTCTACAGTATATACAAAACTTACAACATTTTCTAGCGCCTCTGGTCGCCGCTTTTTCCACCGCCTTGCTGTTTGGAATATGTCCACCTCCTCGTCCATCTTCATTTGATCTCTGATATTTGATATGCAACAGAACAGTCCACTTTGTGTACATCCGTCCCTGTAGTTGACAAATAATCTGTTCATATAAGGATAACAAAAATGCAATCTAGGATTTTAGCTTATCAGTTGAACAACCTACCACTGATCTAATAATAAAACAACTTTATAAACGTACTATTGCTTAGTTATGTCATAACACTGACGGTATCATCCAACTTTTATGGTAAAAAAACAGCGTCTTACTAACCGACACATGACTACAACAGGTCTTGTGTTGTCTGAACGTCGCCGAATGTCTAGCTGTTCCAATAGTTGGAGAAGAGTCGAGTCAGATGGAGGCAGTAAAGAGTCCGATGACCACTGGGACAGGCTGAAGATCCTGATAGTCTCACTCTCACTGCCGGATCGCTGTGTATTAGATGTCACAAAATAATGATTTTAAACTGTAGTCCGCTTAAATTTAATACAGTAACACACATTTCCGACTGTTATTATCAATTTACCTAATATGTTTATAATTTATTGATAAGACAGTTTACCGTTCGCTTTTACTTCAGAATATATATATAGATACTAATATACTAAGTAAAATTGATTATCATCCAAAAAACTGAATCTGAAAATATTACCTTTACTGGTTGACAGTTTCTTATTTTTTGTTTTATTTGTTTGGGAGTTGACATGACCTCATAGCGGCCTCCAACATAGCAGATTATGTAATATATAAAACTAGTCAACGAGAAATGCACGGCCACTAAGATATATCTGTTATTCCGTGCATTATCTAATGATACGACACTTTTCATCAATAAATTATCATATATACATATAATGTAAGCAGGTATGCTATACAATTAAGTACTCTAAATCTTGTCGGTAGACAACATGATTGTATTCCACATGTTCATTATATCTGCATAGAATTTTGTATTTCAATTGATACAAGTCCTTATCAATGCTCGGATCACATTTTCAGTATTGCATTGAAATAACTCTTGATAAAAAATTGTCTGAGATTTCGTCTTTCAAAACAAAGCAGCTGGGGGATTTCCTAGATAGGTTTGTGTCATATTATGTGTTGTCATATTATTCATTCATATTCAGATGAATCCATATACCTATTCACATTATACACTATTTGCGTGAATAATGTCAAAGTGTTTAATATAAAGATTACTGTAGCTATGTACCCAATAAGAAAAGCAACAACTAGACAAAATAAACATCATAATGATATTATATAAACAAAAAATCCTATTAGGCTTTTTATGAATTGAATCACCTTTTTTAAGAATCAAGATTATCATGAAGTATCTCATTACGAACGTGGTAATTAGTATATTTAACGTTTGATATTAAATAAGCTCCAAGTACACTCCTTTGAAAAGAGCAGTGCATATCTAAAAAAGTTAGAATTTATGTTTCTGCACACAAATATCTGGCTGGTAATCTTCACATAATTTACTACCTACCTCCTTTTCAACTTGGTAGTCTACAATAGCCAACTCGGTGTCTGGAGATCGATCCTGCATTTTTGTTACTGAAATGGCATCTCCTGCAGCAAAATCTCCGCCCTCCTCTAGAAGCCAATCCTCTTTCTATGGTTTTTGAGATTTTTAAGACGACATGATTATATTATGGATGTGACAAAACCATCTTAAGGAAACGTCATGATACGGTATATCTGATGTCGAGGAAGTCATCTTATTTAGTTAATTATTCAGTATGTTTATTCATATCACAACGAAACCAATATAATGATATAAACCAATTACGTTTTATAATAAAGAGCAGATTAAACTATACTTCCTTTTGATAATTGATGAATGATATATATATTTTAATATATAGGAACGTGTCAGTTATTACAAACATCTGTTGGTTTTCCGAGGACGACGATGTTTTCACAGCTGTAGTCAAACACCATTGTCCAGAAGTCATCGATGGTGTCCATTAGAGGAAACTGTGTCATCAGATACCCCGACATCGAAGTGTGTGACTGCAGCAAGGAATTAACTGAGTTCATTATAAAGCACATGATAATCAACAAAGGTTAGGGGTTAAACATCTTCCGACTGCCAGGGTCATATTGACGGTTGTCTTAGGAGGCAACGCTGGGAAAAATGAATTAGATAGAGAAAGAAAGAAGACATAAACGTTTGCAGACGAAAACGATCCCAAGTGTTGCAAAGGGGTTAGCACATCAGTTTTGACCTCGTCCATATCCTCTTACTAGAAAACCGCCGATTTTACAGGCTCCACTTTAGGGTATATTCCAATTCCGTCTTTGTGTATTGCAAAATTGTTACGTCATTGATTTGTGAGAGAAAAATACGTCGTTTTCTCAAAAAATGATGACGTTACTCTCACAAACAAATGAAGTAACAATCAATACCTGCTCACAAGAGCAGATAACAATGCAATACGCAAAGACGAAATACACATGCAGTGGGATATTCTATGTATCATAAGTGTCCAGCAGTGGGATACAGCAGACCTTGATCCACCAAAGGTAGATAAATGTGAATCGGGCGATAAGTATCTCGTATGTGTGTTATACGTCATTAAATTTGTCAAAGCTTATGTAATGGATATTGACAATAATTACCTGAATCATTACAGCATTGATGTAATCTGTCACGTTCGGTAATTGTGACTGGAGAAAGGGTCTGAACTTGTCCGCTTAAGAAAACACAAAGCAGAATATATGTTAATCACGTTACATGTACCAGGTGATCTAGTAAAACAAAATTAACAATCCTACAACTTCATCACACGAGGATGCAACCAGAGCTAAGAGTATGTACATGTATGAATAGAACTAAATCTGCCAACCAATCTACCAACTATTGTTGTGACTTCATGCAAGAACTACGAAGGTGATTTTCGTCATGTCTTAAATCGAATAATGGACCATTATAACAAGACAGTGATTATTATACATTTTTAACATGTATGCTACACATTATCGTAGTAGCATATTCTTTGATAAATCAGTTATATAATTCAGTCAAAACATATGAATCATATTTACACCTATGGGTCACACACAACCGCGCTAAAATCCTGACAAAGTTCAGTAATCAAAAGGTTCAATGAACTTTGAACATGATGTTTTCATGACTGTATTTGCAATAGTGATGACATAATGCTGATGAGTGGTATCTCATTGAAACACCTTGCATTAAGTACACATCACAGTGATTCAATTGGTGGCATTATACTGACAACGGTTAAGCCAGTCCTTAGCATTTTGTATTTATAAATAGCATCAAGTACCATTTCAAAGGAGCTATGGAACAACAAAACAAGACAAGAAAAGTATAATCACCCAACATTCATATTATATCATTCAATATCGCAATGGCAATGATAGTAAGCAGTGCGAGTTACAACGTCTGTACTTCAATATATTACAACAGTGGAATACCTGCTAGGATGTCATTATTCGGGTTCTTTTCCAAATTTTCTGCCAGTAATGCAGCCCTAAAGCAACTTGGCGAGTAGGTTGGAGTAAGTGCTGTTAACGCCTGCAACAACAAAAGAGACACAATAGGAGAAGAGAACAGCGTCATGAAGGGATAATTGATCGGTGGTTATACTTAAATATCAAACATTTGCATCTTTAAAAAAGAAAGATATTCCATATTAAAGGCAAATTATACTTACTGTATGCCATAAAAAAATGTTCTATTGATTTTTAAGCAGATTCAAACCATAAATTCCTGATGGATCTTTGTCTGATTCGCTGCTGTATTCGTAGGACACAATGTGTTCAGGACAGCAGGGAAATTCACTCGAAAAATGAGTGATTCTTGTAAATTGAATCCTTCTACAAGTAATTCGTGCAAGGCGATGTACTGTTCCTGTAACGCACACAGATAACGGTATAAGTATTAGTGCTACAAAACCGTTTAAGACAAATCCGTTTTATTTTACAAAGGTAATTTAGCTAAATATATTGAAAAAGTAAAACGCAGCTTTACAATAACTTACATTAGTAATGTATGTGTCAGTATATTGCTGGTGGTGGAGAGTAATTAGAATGGAATATATCTCAATGTCATGATTAAAAAACCAGGACTTCATAAATGTCGGTAGAAATTACACGTTGCATCATGTAGCTTTGTTACTTGTTTAGGCACTACGTACATATGTCTGGATCATGTTCATTCTGCCATTCCTCATGGTTCCAATGTACCTGGGGATGTCAACCTTTCCTGTTTTCTTGCCACGAGAAAGCAACGCATTTAAACCGATAAAAGTCCCAGTCCTCCCAATGCCAGCACTGTAAAATCAAGTTAGAGGGTGAATGTGTCTTCGTGGGATTTCCAACCTAAATGTCTATCAAAATTACGAGATGAACATTCAATAAATGTCTAAACTAGTTAAGGAAGTATTTAATTACGAATTTGAATTGACCATTGTAATAATATCGTTTCAAAATAGATTGAAAATAAACTGTAATAATATTTTTTTTTTATCTTTTTAAAACCTTTTGTTTTTAAATTGAAGATGTCTCAAATAATCGATGAGACCTGAATATATTTGATTTTTTATTGGAAAAAAACCCCTATGCTGCTAGCAATTAATCTAAACTCTGTTAAAAAAAAGATATGAATTGAACTTGAGTACATCTCAGAACCTCTGGTAACTGTACGTATTATAAACATATATGAAATTGCATTTTGGAAACAAGGGTGACATGCCAATAACATTAATTATACACCACAAGTATGTCGAAACTAACCTCTGAGCATAATATAGATAAGAACCAGTTGCTAACACTATATTTAGATATATAGGTAAACTTCAGATACTTCAGTATGTCCATTTTATACACCATCATGTAATACACTAGTAACATAATTAATCATAAAGCTACAAGTGTTTTTGCGAGGGGGAAAAGTACATGACTGAATAGTTTTGCAACACCATCTTTCTTGTTATTATTATTATTTTTTTTTTTGCAATCTCATGTTAAATTGGAGATGTCTAAAATGGTCGTTGAGACCTGAATACGTTTGGTATGTTTTTGTTAGAATATTAACCTATGCAGCTTACACTAAAACCTAACTCTATTGAACAAAAACTATGAATTGAACATGGGTACAACTCAGAACCTCCGGTGCCTGGGCGTATTATAAATATATGAAACTGCATTTTGTTGAGAAGGGGTGAGATGCCATACACATGCATTATACACCACAAGTCTGTAGGAGTTAACCACCGAGCATAAGGCATATATGAGCCCCATGTTATTTCTTAATGAATTGTTCCCACGTTTTTTTTTAACTATAAGCAAAAGCTGTATATAGGTGAAGGTCGAATAACTTCAGCATGTCGTTATTCTACAACCAACAAGTAGTAAACTGGTGATCTAAATAATAAAAAGCTACGAGTGTGTTTTTTTAAGGGGGCAAAGTATTGAGAGACACCTACCATCAATCAGAATGTGAATATCAAGATACTCATTTATTATAGTTTCGTGGAACATTATACAATGCACTGGGTAAAACAAGATTATTCTGGATAAAACACACTTTTCAGAGTGGGTAAAGTCAGGCCTAACATTCTAGACTAATTAGTAGCTTGAAATACAAACTGGGAATGCAACGCAAATTACTTGGAGCGCTGTCGGTCATATGGCCTTATATGAAGTGAGCATTGAAACAATTTACTAACGAGTTTCTAATACAATCATCATATTGGTTAATTGGGACTATCTTTCTTGGTACAATTTGTTTTCAATACGCATGTGTAGATGCTCTACCATAGTTACAAATTTGCGTTGCTAAGCAGAAAATATCCAAAATATGTTTTTTTAGACAGTTGCCATGGAGAAATTAAAGCCTCTGCATGTGACAAACAAATAATCGTTTTTACGAATGAACATTGGTATGGCAATGCTTAAGCATGTCAAATACCTATTTGTTTGCTGCATGCGAAGGCTTTCAAATATTGAAGGGTGTTTAATTAATTTCATTCAAAATGGAAAAATTTCAACCAAAAAAAATGCACGCAACAAACGAAAGTCAAACATTTCATTATGAAAATATATGCTTACTCCAATTATTTTTGATGACGAATATAACAACTAATTATAAATCCCCGATAAGGCCCTTAAAGTCCCTAGTCCTTTTTTATGTCTTGACCAAGACGTGCGAACCTCACTTAATGTCCGGCATGAGATTAGTTTGAATTTTTATCGACAGGAAAAACATCCAATATCAGATATTTGTCAGCGTGTTTTTACGTAACGATGGGGACAATTTGAGTCCCACCGTCGACTGATTTGTTTATATTTTCATACGAGATTAATTTACAGTAAGACATCCTAAATTTGAAAACAGGGACGTTACAAATCCATCTTCATTAGTCGTTTACCTTGCAGTTTACTCTAAACATAACGCCGCCGAAATCGAATTACTTATTTGTTAAAGAAGCGTTAGAAATGTATCTATTTGAACTTGCCATGTCTTTGATGTGCTGGACTTGTTGAATGCTAGCTGTGAACACCGAAATACGGCACCGGCTGTATGCTACCCAGGGAGTTTAGAAATATATTGCCTGGTTGCAAACTCCCTATAACCACAGATAATAATTTGTGAACCGCTTTGATACGACTTAGCATGTTAATGATTCACTGACCCTGGCAAGAGTAGACAACATTTCATGATTTTCAAGTAGTATTAAAACCAACCAAATCAAACAACAAAACACCGAAGCCTATGAATAAAATGAATAGCATTACAGAGTATGTTCTACGTAAGTGAACAGGATGATTGGCCTCGACCACAAGAAACTGTTTTATTAATAGTATCAGTATTGATTAATGTCCGTCAAGGGAACAATCGAAATAATCACATTAAACCAGCGCTGTAGTAACAATATATATGTATATATTTACATTATGTGTAAACCAAATTGCAGTATATGAGACTGTGTACTACAAGTTATAGTGATACGGTCAGTGTAGGAATACAACTGGTACAAGGTAAACAAACATGGCCGCCCGGTACTTTCGGTATCAATAGGCCTATAGTCGGAAATCATTTTGGGTTAGTTAGCATTTAGCAATATAGGTCATCGCAAAAAAATAAAGCAACTTGACAATTATGACAATATAAATATATTATAATATGTGTAGGTACCACAAAATTATTGTAAGCGCCATTCTAGATACGAAATTACCAAGTTTGTCACCGTCATCACACAGGGGAACGGTTTCGAGATTTTGAGTTATGCATAACATCAGTGAATAACCACAACACTAAAATTCAGCATTTCTAAAACCTCGTAAAAGTCCAGGGTATCGACAAGGTTTTAGAATGTGTATAAATACCCTTTTAAGTGTTGTGGTTTTTCAGTGATGTCATCCATTACTCAAAATCACGAAACCGAGCTCCTGTGAACGTCGTCTGCTAGCGATGCTAATCTGACCGATTAGACATGGAATCTATTTCAAACGGAATGTCCTTGGAATCATTATCACCTACTGAAAGGACCACTTTAATAAAAAAAAACGAGTATATATGCTGCTGAAAATAACGTAATATTCCAGTCGAAGGAAACATAAGCGGTTCCGAGGAAACAATCAAGTCCGTTCAGCGCCGCATCACTTCAAAATACATGTAATATATCAATGCGCGAAAAACAGCTTTAAATTTAAACCAGCAGAAGCTATGCAATTATTAACAATTTTTCAACATATAACACTCATATGAAATAAATAATACAGTTAAGTTTGTGTTCAAACCATTTTAATTGCGTGTGGTTTTAAATGACACGAGGGACTATATTATTTCTTCTGGAAATGTCGGCTGTTCTGGAATTTGAACTTACTGACGTCACTGATATGATAAGCGGGAAATGCAAACGTATTTTTGCTTCAGTTACTATACAAAACAAACTATATACATGTAAATGTAAATATAAGCATTTTACTGTTACCTAACGGGCGACATTCTATGTATCTGTCACCCAAATTGCATTCATATCGACTGTATACTGCATCTGGTAACAGTTCAATGCTTTAATGTATAGGAAATATAAGATCCAACGATGGCATACTGTACTATGACGTCATCACTTTCTGTATTGTCCTACATGTATCAACATAAATAAACAGATCCCCTGATGAACCTTTAATAAGGGAAAGAGCTAGGGGTACTAAGAAACTTATTTCATGTGATTTGTTTATATATGTATATTTGATTCAACAGCAAAAAGACTTGGAATGTATATTTTGTATCACGTTAAAAAAGACTGAAATACAATCAACAAGCTGGGCACTATAAAAGCGATACCATACAAGTTATTGTACCTGCAGTGTACAATCATCTGTCCCGTCAATTGTGTTCTGTATGACGTCACACGGCGGTCGAAAAGGACGAGCTCCAACGTGTCCGGAGTTCCATGGTCAAGCCATTTCGTAAAGTGAAAATGATGGACCTGACGCTCTTCCTTTGTCTACAGGGAGGACCGTATGATGCATTACAGTCAGTTATGAATAGCTCGCGAATTTTTATCATTTGCATCATAAACAATACACAATTTTCTATCATTTCTATGCATGTTAGATAGGGCTGCCCAGTGTAAGGAAGGGGTGTAAGAAAGTTCTATCTTACACCCCATTTCACGTGACGTGACATCACAATGGCCTTACAATGACGTGACGTCACGAAGGCAACGTAATGAAATTAAAACCTTGCACGATAAATTAATCGTACAAGTTAGAAATATCAACTTATTTTTCTCTGCAAACTCTGTTTGCGAATTTAGGGTATGGTTAGTCTTGTTGATAGATTCGTTTTTGTCAAAATAGCTCAGAGGAAAAGTTGATATTTTTAAAATGGTATCCAGTCCAAATAGATGTTCATGGTTTCTGAGGTTGTTCTGGTACATTTGAAGTGAGAAGAAGAGAATCATACCAGTCATGCCCAGGGGTGTAGGATAGGGAAATTATACCCTCGGGATTTTCAAAATCGACAAATCACTCGGCAAAGCCTCGGTTGGATTTTTTCCATCCTACACTCCTGGACATGAAAGAGTATGTCTATCTCATTTCAAAGTTAAATGAACTCAATACCTTTTTAAGAGTGATTGATATGTCACGGATGTCATAGAATGCTGTGAGTTATGATCAGCTCACGTATTTTTATGACTTGCATTATAAAGAACAAACAAGAATATTTCATGTTGGTTACATTATAATGTTAAATGAAACCAATACCTTTTTATGGGTGATTGATATGTCACGGATGACATAGAAGGCATAGGTCATCTCTCTGTCAAGTTTGAGCTCAAATGTCTGTGTAACAAGTGATTCTCCTTCATCAGGCCAGTATTTGTGACATTTTACCTGAAGAGATACCAAAGCGAGTTTACGATAAATATACAAAGCTTTACTTGCAGTGCACACATTCACAAGCAGGAGAAACATATTTACAAACCATGAACAATATCATATGGATTTTGTTTCTTTACTTTTTTATTCGAGCATTTTTAAGTGTACTTGAAAGATATACATGTACATTAGCATGATAAAATACATACATTGCGACCCTCTTTGAGGTTTGTCAGCATAACAATCTTTCCAGAATTCACCTGCCACACCATCCTCCAAAAGTCGTCTAGAGTGTTTGGCTTCGGTCCTTTGTACAACAGTGTTTATTAATTGGGACGAAATGACAATTATTATTTGACAAACAAATAAATTATGTCAATAGATTTTCCGAATAATGTTGATGTTTGTTTTGATATAGCTATTACATTTGTATAACAGATTGTCCCCCTTTGTTCAGAAAAGGCTTTGATTTATTTGTGTTCAGTTTGTGAGTTTTTATACAAACATTTATATTATTAATGTCGCTATTGATTGTTGTAGTTCAAACTTTTTTTTCAGTTGGTAGGATATAACAACATAAACAAATGCATTACAATGTATTGTATAATACCTTGACAGGCAATGTACGCTTTTTCGGTTTCAATACCCTGTAACATATCAATATAATGTAATATTGTAATTAATATAACATTAACACAACTTATTATACACTGTGCAGTAAAAAATGAAACATGATATTTCTTTTTTTAAAGTAACGTACTTAAAATTTAATGTAAAGTTTATCTTTATACCATGTCTAGATGAATTTCAACTATCACTTGTAACCACATTGGTTACCTTATAGTTTGTCAATAGCATGTCGTCGAACAGATATAACCAATGAAAAACAATTATCTTCACAGAACTATCGGCATTGCTTCTGTAGGTAGGTTACAATCAATATAAAAAAGCTCGATTTATCGGCCTACATACTTACATCGATATAATTTGCGTTGATGTAGCTTGTATCGGTATCCTTGCCGTTTGTATCTAAAAGGATTCTGGAATGGTCATCTGCAATATAGTTATATATCTACATGTAAACCAATGTATGCTAAACAAATTTTTTAGTGAATTCATCAAGTGTTTCTTTATCTATCATCATTTCATAATACTTTGTCCAAGCAGTTTAACTGATTAATATTATAAATCTGTTTTTGTAAAGAGTATCGATATTGAACACAAATAAACAGGTTCTTACATGGGAAAATTGTCTTGAATCTGTTCTTTGGTGTGTTTGATGTCTTTTTACCTGCCTCGTGTGGATGTACGGCTCCCCTTGAAAAAGTCTAAAAGCAATGTATTTATTAAGTAAAATATAATATATATATAAAAACTAAATCATGAAATGTATATTTGCTTGATACCAGTAGACATAGAGCGTGTTCAATGTTTTTAAGAATCAACCCTAATGATACATTTAATTCCTTCCTTATGCAATGATGTGCTATGATTTCTGATCGATATTGATATTAAATATCTCATTAAAAGTTGATGTACACATGTATCCATACCTGAAAATCCTCTTGAAATGCTGCCGCTTCATTTAGGATTTTGCTATCGATGATAGACCGCAGTTCATGAATAGGGACACCGGTGACGTCAACGTTGTTATACACGACGTCATCATCAGCGTTTGGGTAAATGTAATGTACGTTTACGTAAACTTGTCTGTCTTCACTTGTAGTGTCTTAAATATCAAACACATGTATTGAAGAAACACAGGAAACTTGCGGAAAGTATCGTACTTACATTTGTATGTGTACCCGTTTATTTCTATTATCAATATCCCTTTACGTATTATACATATCTGTCTGAAATAATCCACTTTTGATCATAGAAAACATTAATGTGTCTATCAAACATGACATTGTGACACTAATAGTCATCTCTCCCGTAGCTACAACACAATACACCTGTGTTATATACCTGCACACGCTGTATGCAGGGATACGCTGATATATGGAATACGACAATGACTTATAATCAAAAGTAAAATGTATTGCTACTGCTGCAATACTAAGATACTGTTTGACCCACTAAAATATTATCCTCGACATTAACATAAAGCAAAAAGCGATGCAGATAACAACTTACTTAATAATGACAGTAATATGTGGTAGCCTATATGTAAAACCCTTACCTCCACTTTTCGATTGATTGGCTGGCGTTTCAAACGGGATTGGTAAAGACTCTACATTTCCAAACGCCTTGCCTCTGCCTTCAAGGTGATTTTCTTCTTTGTGTTTTGGTAATCGTTTCCTACAGATACAGACATGAAACAAAATCGAAATGTTAACGATCAATAAATATCAAAATATCATCTACCAAGGTTCACAATACAATTACCATGAATGCATACCTTCTAAGGATGATGACAGTTGCTATAACAACAAGAACAATCACAATCATTGCTCCAACACCAGCCCCAGCGTAGGTTCCTGTTTGGTCGCCTGAGACTGACATCAACTTTTCTGAAATGAACACATGTGTGCTGATAACTCCTCGTTCAATTTATATAAAATTTCACTATGGTTTCGTTGTTTTTATATATACATTTTTTTAAACAAAATCTACATAAACTGAGTGAAATATCATCAGTTATTTGTTTTGAAAATAAAAAAGAGACAACATAAACACAAAATACTTGTAGTGCACTTCTCTCCTTCCCAGCCATTTTTACACCCGCATGTTCCGTGTGTCATGTCGCGACATAAGCATTGTCCGACAGACCTTGTGCATGCCAAAGCACTACACTGCCCGCATTCCTCTTCACAGTCAGGTCCAAAATATCCACTCGTACAAGCTAATAATACAAATAGAGGTAGTGTCATTGTATCCAAATATTGAGTTCGGGTATGTACTAATAAACATAATCTCTACTGAAATGGATTACAAAATTGCGAAGCTTTTAGAAATTATCTTTTGAAGCAAACATAAAATATTTTACGAAAAATATACTGCAGGTGAAATATTTTGATGATAATTGACGATAAAGAAATGAAACAAAATGTACATGATTCATTGTCTTTTTACAATAATAGTACGTAATTTGAATCTTACACATTAAACTATCTTTTCTATACATGATTAATAGCTCAGCCATAGATACTTTGACAACATGTTCTGTACGTTATTGATATGTCCACTGTACCTATGCACGTTCCGTTGTTCTGTTGGCATTCATCATTGTTACAATGACCAAAACATGACATACTGCAATTTTGTCCAAAGAAACCAGGTTCACATGCTACAATACAAATATTTCATATTTTACACATAACACAAAACGAATAATATTAAAAGTTGTCCCGGAAAATCCAACTCTAAATTCCAGAAATATCAATGAGTTATTAAGATTATTTTGCCTTTAGATAAACAAGAAATATTAAAAATTGTATTAGTAGAGTCCATATTAAAAGTCGTCATCTAAACGGACCTTAGTTTTACAAATGATGCATTAGATAGAATGTCCAATCCCATAATGCACTTACTAAATAATATTTGGCAAAATCAGAAATAATAAGGAACCATTGCTATCTCATATGCCTGCATCCATATATACACTGTACGTCAATCAATTAAAGGACACAGCGACCGGAAAATGAAACTGTTAACACATAAAACGTAATTAACGTAGCCTAGTATATCACCAAAGAGGTTTAATGATCGACAGAGAGAAAAGCTGACTCTATTTGCGGCATCATTTTACCTGAACAATCCCCGCTACTTCTGGCACATAGTGAGTCTCGACAGTGCACCGGACAAGTCTGCTTACAGTCAATGTCATACAGCCCGGGTCCACATTCTAAAACACAATTAAACGGATGCATGTTTTGATGTCTCGTTAAAGCAATACTTATACAACATGGTTATTTTAGCAATTATATTTACTTTGCTGTAGGAAGTGTACAATGTAATATATGGATATATTTGTTATTTGGTTTATGTAATTATTGTGCTAATAATTCCCTTTAAAAAAAATCTCTTGAGGTTTAATACAAAAAAATCTAGTAAACTGAGACCTAAGTTTGCTATACCTCAAATTCAATTACTCTATTTTTTCTATGCCGAAACGAAAACTGCGTTTCAAAAACGGAATATTCCACGTAACAAAATACTATCGCATGCATTCGTTTCTCGGCGATAGGTAAACTGAGAAGTTAAAGGCAACTACTAGTAGCACTCAACTCTCACCTAATTTGCTCTACCGAATCAGCGTTATGTTGGTACTTGTTCATCTCAACATATTCTATATAAGTCAATTTTATCTTTACTTCCAGGGAAATCTTTTTTTCCTGGATCAACATCCATTTGTCGATGAAGGATGATAACAATAAATATAGTACAGTTGTGGGATCGCACAACGTTACACGATGTGCCATGTGCGCACGGTGTGTGCACTATGTATGCCCGATGGGCGAACGATTAAAATCTGGACGATTATTGCTTGCACACACTTGTGAGGACGATTGACAAACGTTGAGCGAAGACAATCGTGGTTGGTGTAAATCGGAAAATGGCTTAGCAATATATACGGCATCGTGTTGAAACAAATCACTTGATTTTTAAGTAAATTTCTATATTTAAGCTACATGTATCAGCTGATCTTTCTACACTTATCTATATTTTCTTTAATATAAAAATGGTTTTATAACGACCTAAATCGAAACATGTAAAATAACACATATCGACACGGTCACGTTTACAGGTAAGCATAGCCACTTTGTACCTGTACCTAAACCATCGTTTTCCCCCACCCGGGGTACTAAGACGAATGCAAATAACAAATGCTTAACGCCCAGTTGTGTCATACGGTATCCCATATCAGCTCCCTTTGTCAGGCACAGGCCAGGTGAAACTCCAGTCAATCATCAATATGTTATTTATCTGTTCTGTTACCTGGGAACTAAACACATTCTTGATAGTCTAATAGTCTGTATAACAGGCATTGTAAAATTAAAATCTTAATTAATTTGATGAGAAATTTGTATACCGTTTTCCTTATTCCATACGAGGGTTCGGGATATTTTTCGTTCCGTAATATTGATCACCTAATTGTACCAAATCGTTCAATTGTGCGGAGAGAAGCGCACAACTGGGAGAACGATTGTTAAATCGCACAGTTGTGCGCACCATGTGAGGACGATGTGCATACGGTGTGTACACGATCTTTGCACGATGTGAGCACACTATTTTTGGTGCATTGTGCGGTCACACAACTGTCTTACATCTATGTCAGAATATGTATACAAAATTACAAAAAGAAATCTGAACACATTACAACTGCCTCAAGTAGAATGTATCTGGTCAAGTAATATTCGGGACTTAAGGACCAAAAACGCTATTGAGATGTCGTCGAAAGTTTTTGTTAAAAACGCAACAACAAATGCTTGAATAATAATGAATATTCCACTAAAAAAGCCGAGAAGATCATTGAAAAATTTCATCGGCTTTGTTTTATCATATTTTCGAAAGAAAACGTCCCAAGCGGCTATTCGTATACATAACTCAAAACGTATGCTTAATGCAGCAAGGCTTTGATGTAACAGTAACTTTCGCGATAGTATAAAATCCTTGTTTAGTTTAATGACCCATTTAAGGACTCAAACTAATGAACGAGAAACTTATAATGATATTATTTTACTATTGTATCTTCGTCTGTACCATGACATATCATCATACCTGTACATAACCCACTGGTCTGATTACATATATCCCCTTTGCAATTGGACGGGCAGCTTGTGTTGCAGATATCACCATAATATCCAGGTATGCATGCTTTCATAAAAAAAACCCATAGGCAGTCATTTGAGGTTAAATACATACATCGTTAACTTTGCAAAAAGGATAGATAAGTGACTTGTTCAACCTAGACTTTACTAAAAGAGACACAAGCTAGAACATAACATATATTATATACTTTACATAAAACTCCCTTGAAATACAGAGACAATAGTCTTGTGTCTATCCTCAGGTAATTCAAAATCTAGTCAAACATATCAACTTATATAAATAATTCAACCACATAACTTTGAGTATACATAACGAAAATATAAATACCTCTGATTAGATTTGTAGAAATGTCTTACATCCTTTTCATGCCCTTGACAGTTTTATTATACATGCACAAACATCAGAGAATTCCTCAAACATGTATTTTGACTTAAATCAATTCCAATGACAGAGTCATCATACATGTACATTTCCCCTCATATTATGTACATGTGTTGTTTTCACAACTAAACCGATCACACTTTATCCCATAGAAGCCGTTCAAGCAAGCTAAAAGTACACAAATAAGTGAAGCCTAAACTTCGGTCTTCCATTTCAATCGTTATACATTTCTTTGTGTGAAACATTGAATACGACAATACTGTTCAGTTAGAAAACAAACCCATAGATTGCTCTAAAAGCAGCAATAGCACTTATGCTACGACATACATTTGGATAAATAATGTCACTTATTTCCCCGTACCTAATCAGGTTAGCCGTTTGATTATCTCAAATATCTATTAGGTTTCTAGATCATAATGCAAATGTATGCATTCTGCACACACAAGAAACGTTAAACCATCACATTCCTAATGAATTATTTCATACTGCATTTCTATTCAAAAAAGATAACAACAGTTAAACATAGGATAAATTTCTAAAACTCTAAAACAGTTTTGACTTCAAGACATGGTAATCCC